ACACACATGTGGTTTTATGAGGATTTTCGCCCAAGAGAGCCAGTGCAAATGGGATTCAGCTGACTATGGTGGCAATTTGTTTGTAAATAAATTTTCCATGTACCCACTTGTTCTTCTATAAGCGGGAATACCTTTTTTTTTCCAGTCATTGCTCTCGCCAACCATCTTACTCGTCTCTTGTCTGAACACTCTGTACCACCCTTTCTAGCCCCTCACTGTAAAGCTCTCTTTGGGCTTCTGTTTGCTCTTTGCCAGGTCTTTCCCAATCCCTTCCCTATGCTACCTCCTGCGGTGTGTTTGAGGAGCAGGGGATGCTGCTGGCTTTGGTGCTGGCACTAGGAGCTCTTTGCAGGGACACTCCAGGCATTGCACAGAATTTATGGGGAATGCAGAGTCGAGCAATACCCATGATTGGTTGAAATCGATATTTCTAGAACCTCATTTCTTTGCTTTATCACAGAAGGGTTCATCTGTTGTGCGTTTTCTTGGTCTCTCAGCTAACCTGCAGATTTGGGGAGTGTGGTGTGTGCTGCCTGCTCTGTGCTCAGCTCTTGCCCTGTCTTCCTCAGCACTGGCATGAGCTATACGTGCAAGAGACAGACGTGGTGAACGATGGGGGTAGAGGGAGAACAGGCTCTTCTTTCCTGTCCTCCTGGTTGTCTTCCCAGAGTTACGAAAGCCCCCAGCACACCATGCCATGCCCCGCCACCCCTCAGCCCACTGGCTGATTTCAGCCTCCATCTCAGTGTGCACATGAATTTCCACTCTTTGTGTTAAATCCTGCCAAAGCAAAATTCCTGAAGCAAAATAAAAACGTGGAAGACTTTCAAACCCAGAGATTGTTGAACTGTCCCTCTTACCAAATGGCAGTCATACTATGTTCTTTATAAAGTCTCTAGTATAATGTTTAATTCAGTAACTACAACTAGAAAGTCTTTCCAATTATTTCAAACTGCCAGAGACGTTTTAATGTGCCTCAGATTTTGTGTTGGCATGCCATAGAGTTAAGTGCCATCCATCTTTCAGAGAACTTTAAAATTTAGTCTTGTATAAAAAGGAGAAAAATGGGAAAGGATCCCAAAGAACGTACTTGTCCCATGAACCCCACCGCCATTTGTGGCCTCACAGACGCCTTCTCCTGCCTTTTGAAATTGTTTGTATCCCTCTTTGCAGGGTGAGAGATCTATGCAAACAGCCAAAATCTTTAATTCCTGTGCAGAGCTTCAGTTGAGAGCAGGATTGCGAGCAGATCTTCACTGGCGGCCACCCAGCCATGCATCGTCGGGCAGTATTCACTCTCCAGATGCGTTCAAGCCTCTGCAACCGGGGATGTAAAAGGTTGAGAAAGCCCAAATATCTCCTGATTTCTTTTTTGTCCCGGGGCCATGGGGCCTCTGTCTCTACCTACTGGCTGCTGTTAGTCCCAAACCCACTGAGGCAGGCGCCCATCCCTGCTGAAACCTGCCAGCAAGCCCTGCTGCTCGGTGCGAGGGAACAGAGCACGTAGCTTTGTTGCCTTGGTTAGCCTCACTCCAACTACGTGAGCATTAGTAAGTGGCAGAAGCTGACTCTCCACATCCTTGCACTTTTTTTATTCTCTTTTTTTTGTTTTGTTTTATTCCTTCTCCCTGAGCTCAGTGGCATGTGAATGCTGAGTGTGGGAGTCTCTGCACCAGGCAGAGGGGGACAAGGGGCAGAGAGAATGTCTTATATATCTAGTTCTGCTCTATTAAGATTCATTCTGGTATGACAATGGCTTTTTCTATTGAAATGCTTTGTGAAAGCCTTGCTTAATGATCTGTTAGCTGGGAAGAGGTTAAATTCCTGCAAGATTTTCTGTATTTGCTGAAGAACAGTGCAATTATCCAGAATTCGAAGTGAGTTTTAGCCAGCTGTTAATAATACTGCGATTCTTCATGTTCTCATTACTCAGAAGTAATGTGGCCATCCCTAGTCATGGCAGTAAAATATTTATAGCATTCTCTTTTGGCCCTGTTTGTACTTATGGAGGGCTGGACATCACTCGAGGTCTTCTAAATATGCTTCTTTTTGTGCTTTAGCCACCCATGACAGTACTGTTCTCATCTAACTGCAGCTGTCTGCAACAGAGACATCCAGTTTAAGTCGGTCAGCTCAGGAGGGGTCAGACAGGCCCTTTAACCACTAACGGTTGGGCATCTTGTGCAAACTGGTCAGGGCTCTGCTAGAGTCACTAGAGATACTCGTGCTTCCAGGTTCACACTATCCCAAGACAGCTGCCAAGGATGGAGATAAGTGGACTTGATACCTGATACTCCTGATACCAAGAGTGCTCTTATTAATAATCTGGTTTGATGCAGAGATAGGTTTATTAGTAGTATTCTGCTCTTTGTGGCCTTGTTGCAATCTGCAGGTCGGTTTGTATGCTGGGAGATCACTGGAAACGTTCAGGAGCGACCCACAGACATCTGTGTGTTTCTCCTAGCTCTCTCCCCTGATCGCTGAGGTTTCCAGTTTGGAAAGTCATGGCAGAACATGAAGTACACGTGGCATCTCTCTGTCCAGGCGCACAGAAACAAAATAAGTGTCATGGGAAAAATATAATTTCACAGTGGCAGGCCCTGCACTTGGGATAAACAGACGGCTTGTTTCCTCTGGTGGATGCATGGAAAATCCATTCCCAGTCCTCTGCAGAGGCTCCTAAACATGAACCAAATCTCCTCCTGTAGTATTTAAGAACTACAGCTGTTTTGCACCAGCAAAACCGTTTCATTTCTAGCAAGGGAACTGCAGGTAACACGTTTTTGCTATCATCATATTGTCATTTAGGTGTCTGTCTTACCCTCTTTATAGGAGTGTCATTTCAAGTGCAGCTTTTTGCCTGGAGGTCTCAAAAAAGGAGTATTAAGTAACTGTATCTGTCTCTAATTCACTAAACATCCAGAAAAAGAGCTAATGTGCCTGAACTAGTGAAATGAATACATTAGATTAATCTAATTCAGCTACTTTTCACTCAAACAACCAGTAGCATTTAAAAAAAAAAAAAAAGTTTGTGAAAGGGATTAGGAATTTCTTTTCCACATTTTTCCTTTCTTCTCCTTTGCATGTCTTTGCTGCATTCCATTAAACATTAGCTATTCAGTTAGCTTATTTCCTTGACCCTCCTTAAAACAGTACTTTAAAAATAAGTTTATTCTTCTCAGACCTCAGAGCTGGCTCCATATTCACCAAGGCTTTCAGTGACCAGAAAGGTGACAGAATAAATAGAGACATACAGGCTGTGAGCAGCTTATCCTGGCTGGAGCAAGTAACTTCCAGCTCACTTGCACACTGGTCAGGCAATAAGGGTATGGGGAGTCTCAGAGTATCACCCCTGGGTTTAGAGCAATTCCCTGGGCATGTGGTCGCCTCTTCTCTAACCCCTTCAGCTCCCTTGGCCATGGTGGTGCATGCTATCACCTTAATGCCATGGCAAGTCTGATGTATGTATCCTCTAATCCTTTATACTCCTCTTTATTGGAAATGTATAAAAAGACCCAGAACAGGCTGCCTAGACCCTTCAGTTTAACAGCAAATTACTGGTAGATGCTCTTGGTCCAGTCTAGATCAGGGTTATCTCACTTTCTGGAGAGAACATCATGTGCAATTGTGTCAAAAGCCTTAAAAACTATCAAGGTATAAGACTTAAACAGCTGCTTTACTGCCTGCAGACCCTGCTCTCCTGTCAGTAGATTGTTTCAGTGTGATTTGTTCTTGACACATTCCTGTGGCTGTTGATCATCTCCTTATATTTTGTAAGTGCTGACAAGCAGCTTGATTATTTGTCCAAGTATTTTTCTGGGACCTGAAGCTGGTCTGCCTACTCTGTAATTCCCCAGCGCCTCCTTCCCCTCTTCTGTAAGTGGAGCCCTCGGTCTGCCCTCCCAGCCCCCTGGAACCTCCCCATCCCCGGTGGCTCCTCACAGTTAAGTGGTTGCATCTCCAAGGCTGCTTCAGGAAGCTCGCGGAGTGTCCTGGGATGCAGTTCAACAGGCAGGGATGATTGAAAACACCACAGTTATCTAATTACTCTCTAACCAAATCTCCTCTCGCTGTTGCACGAGTTTGTATCCTGCTATCACTAGCATTAGCTTCATCAGGCTTTTGATTGCTTTTGAGTTTTTAGTGAAGATTGAAGCAAAAAAAGACATTAAGTGTTTTGGCTCTCATAGCAATGCCCTGTGCTAAAGGCAATCAGCTCTTCCTTCCCTCCTGCTGGTGGCTGGTGCCCCACTGCTCATCAGTGCCACAGTACATCAGGCGAGATGCCAGCTGGGGACCTTTGAGGCCAGCGGGTAGGAGACGAATCCCACAAAGACCCCAGCACCCCAGGAGGACCACCCCAGTTGTGGGGCTTGGCCAGACTGTTGCCAGACAGGGAGTCCTCCTCTATCCCCAAGCTCAAGGGGTGGCATGAAGCTCCTCTCTTTGCATGCAGAGTGGAGGTTAGCTGGGTGTGTGGTGCACACCTTGGAGGCTCTACTGGATTATTGCTGGGGCTTGGTTACTGCAGAGGGGACTGTGGGAGCAGAGAGCAGGCTGTGGTGGCATGCAGGAGAGGTGGCTGTGAGCTAGCAACCCTGGAGTGGTGATTTCCTCCTCTGCCCCCCAGGCACAGAAGGGATCTGCTCTGAAAGAGATGCAGGGCAGGATAAGCACAGGAAAGGCTGAACTTTCCTTGCCAAGAGCAGATGAAAAGAGATGTTATAAAATCACTTGTCTCTGGTAACATGGCCCCTAGCTCTTGACACAGTGGTGGAGTGCATCCAAGTTTCATGCTGGAAGGAGATGAGCCTATAACTGGAATCCTATCCCGGTTTCAAAGGTCAGGTGCATTTCTGTAGTTACAGATGTCGTGGGGATGGCATTTGACCCTGGCTCATCCTACACAGAAGGCAAGGTCTGATGGACAGCAGGATCATTTGAACCTCCCTGGAACTAGCTTTCATTTGAATTACAAACTGTTTTTTGTTTCTTCCCAGCCAGGTCTCTAGACAAACTCTATAACTTTGCTGACTGCTCTGGCCTTCACCTGATCTTTGCACTGAATGCTTTGCGCCGAAATCCCAACAACTCTTGGAACAGCTCCAATGCTCTCAGCCTGCTGAAGTACAGTGCCAGCAAGAAGTACAACATCTCCTGGGAGCTGGGCAATGGTGAGTGTGAGAACAGGAGAGCCATAGGAATGGAGCTCACTGTAGCAGAAAGGTATTCCCTTTTGGAAGAGGATATTTGCAGATCTCAGGATGCTTTGCCAGTGTGGTTTCAGAGGGATTTAAAGGTCCCTGCTATAAAGCAGCACAACCTTTAAGATGGACCTGGCATGTGCTAGACCCTTAGCTGGATGTTTTCATCAGTTGGTATTAAGCACATGAAATGTTTCTGCCCTGGCTGCTGGGCACAGCCAGTTCTGGGGTGGCCAGACCAGCAGCTGTATGGACTTGTAGGGTGGCTGCAGCACCAGGGGAAGTGGGGGACCCTAGGAGGGGAGGAGCATGACACCAAGGTGCAGGTGCTTCACCCAGCACACAGAAAAAGGGGTGCAGGAGGATTGCTGGCAGAGAAGAACAAACGATGGCCCTCATCCACTCCTCAGAGGCTCCTTCTGCTGCTCCGCAGAGTAGGCAGGCAGCTCTGTGGAGCTCAAGCTGTGTGACAGCATGAGCTATGTGTCTCTCTCCGGAAGCACAGATGAAGGAGCAGAGCTGGCAAGCCTTGCTTGTCTATTTTTGTTTTCCCAGAGCCCAATAACTATCGGACCCTGATTGGCCGCTCAGTGAACGGCAGCCAGCTGGGGAAGGACTACATCCAGCTGAGAAGCCTGCTGCAGCTTATCCGCACTTATTCCAGAGCAAACCTCTATGGGCCAAACATTGGGAGGCCCAGAAAGAATGTCATTGCTCTCCTGGAAGGGTAAGTGATCAAGAAGAGATCAGAAATTTGTCCTGAGACTGATGCCCTTTGCAGCAGGTAGACTTGCTCTTTGGCTTCCTGATGTCCAACAGCTGCCAGGACAACAAGGATCTGTATGGCTCAGCCACAACAGTACCACAGGCCTGAGGACATGGTAATCTGTGCTATTAAACTTCTGCAGAGGTCCCTGGTGGGATTTCTGGCTGGGCTGATCAACACTCTCCCAAGTATTCCCAGCATTTCCCAATTATAGGCAGACTGAGGTGCCCACCTTGTTGGGATGTGAAGATAATGCAGCGGTGAGGATGCAGGCTTCTGCATTCCTGTGGACTGCAGGACCAGGAGGTGGATCCTGGCACCCCTTACCAGTGTAGATATTGTCTCAGAGTCCTTCTGGACAAATTGCTTTGCTCTTCCCATTTGGTGACTTCTTTTCCCTGTGCTCTCTCCATCTGTGCAGAGGAAGAACCTGTAGCAACTTTCTTCACTGGCCAAGCCCTTGGCTCTCTCCTAGGAGAATTGGCATGTCTCTATGTCTATAGATTTGGGAGGCCAGAGGTGGAGAAGGAATGGTGACAGTGAGGGATGCAGACACCTGGAGGTGACATTGGACAGCTACAGGAACCAGGGAGGTGTGGGAGCCTGCTGGCAGCAGGAATTGGGACTGTGTGGCTCGAAGACCGTGCAGCAGAAGGGAAATTCCCTGCAGGACTGTAAACAGAAACTCCAGTGCAGAGGGCTGGGCAGGGGGAGGTGTGGAAGGGACTCTGCTGGGAGCAAAGCTGGGTCTAGCATTCATTAACATCTGCATGAATGATCTGGCAGAAACAATAAACAGCACACTGATGCAGTCCCTGGTGAGGCGGGGAGGGAGCCAGGGCCAGATTCTTAGCTCTGCTGCAGCAGCACAAAGAGACCATAAAGCTGGTTGAACCATCTGCAACACCAGCATCCCTCCTGCTGACGAAAGTGGGGGAGCAGCCCATGCACCCACACCACGACTGTCGCCGATGCCGCGTGAGCACATCTCTTGCTGGAGCCCCCACATTCTGTATGGTGCGGTGAAAGTGGCGCAAGGGGAGTTACAAAATGTTGTAGTAGCCTTGATCAGCAGGAAATCTATTAGCGCCGGGAGGAGCGGGCTGAGTAAGGAAAACAACAGGGATGAGAGCCAAGAAGCTCTTAGAGAAAGGGAAGTCCTACTGCTGTGTTTGCCCTTCGTGCGCCGCAGCCGGGTCCCAGGGAAGAGGGGTCGGAAGAACTGAGTTGCACGGCTGGGGTGGTCTGGCAGCTCTGTGTTGCTGGAGCTGCAGTTTGACTGACGGCAACCCTGGGAGCGAGACTGTAGCATACAATCTGATGGAGAGGATGGCAGAAATGCCATCTCAAATGAAAGGAAAGGTAGGTAACACCTAGGGTTTGAACAGCCCTGGTGACAGGATGGTGGGGGCTCAGCAGACCCCCACACTGATCTGAAGGAGCTGTACTGAGCATGCCTGATCTCCAAACTGTATGCTGTTTCTCTGCTGCCATCCTTGCCTGCCAGGGTGACGCTGGTCCACAAGCCCTCAAGTGATTTCTCTCTCCCATGGAGAAACGTTGTGTCCCGCACTCCAAACCCTGGTGCATGCAGCTCATGGCGAGTGGCACATGCCTGCATGACCTTACAGCCCATGAGGTCCTGTGAGAAAAGAGCTGTTTCTCTTTCCACATAAAGACCCCATTATGACCAGGCAGGGCGTAAAGAGAAGGAGCAAGTTTGATTACACAAAGACAAAGGGCTAAATGCTCATTTGCAGTATTTGGAAATGGAGTTGCTAAAGGATGAATAAATAAACACCAGTGCCTAAGCTGCTTGACAGTGTGAGCTTTGTTCCCAGCAGCTCCCTGACACTTCAGCACTCAGTGCTACTGAGAGCTCTGCCTTCTGCAAGAGCATCACCGAACTGGTCAATGGGCTGTGACTCAGCATGTGCCTGGGGCTGTCATGGCCAGGACATGCCTCTCAGAATCCTGAATGAACCCCACAGAGTCAGCAAGCAGGAGAGAGGAGAAAAAATTTAAGAAGGTGCTCTCAATGGCAAGCCTGCTGTCTGCCTTGCTAGACCACCATGGGTGTTCTACATAGGGCTCACAGTAGGTTGAAGGCTCCAGAGCAAATAAAGTGTGTGCAGTTACTAGTCTTGATAACACAAAATCTACATTGTTTTTCACTTATTTTAAAAAATGCTATGAACAGCAGAAGTCAACCAGGTAGGAATAGGTATGCCAAGTGGAAGATTAAGACTCAAGTGTTAAATAAGGCTGAAGTAAGGTTTAAGTAAGGAGGGGAAAGATAAGCACCCAGAGCAGCAATCAGGGTGTGTGGATTAGTCTGCCAAGCAAGCAGTGCTCTGTTACACAGTGAGGAAGCAGCTTTTGGTGGGGGAAATAATGGAAATGAGCTGAAGTGGGAGAGTACAGCTCAGAGAGGCCCAGGGAGTGATCTCTGACAGTAGAAGCTGGTATTTGATGTTCTCCAAGAGTTACGTTACCTGACGTCCTGAAACACTCAGAGAAAAGTCTCATTGTGAAGTATTACCTAAAATTACATTTTCCCGTTGCATACTCTGTGTTCCAAACATTGCAGTCTATTGTTTAACTGTTATCTCAAGCAACCAAACTAAACTTACTCTTTATGTTTAAAGATTTTCCTGCAATAATGACAGTATCATCATGATTTGGGCATTGTTCTCTGCTGTGCACCAGGTTCTGTGTCTGTCTCAGTGGTGGAAGACGGACACCTCCAGGGCTTGTCCTCCAGGACACAGTGGGACTGAACCCCTTTCTCTGGGGGTCTGCTAGACAGGCTAGGTGATGAGTGCAAATCAGGTACCCGAAGGTTTGCAGCCTGCAGGGATGTGTGCACGCTGTCTCACTGCAAAGGCTGTCCTTAGGCGGGTGACATTGAGCTGTGCGGGGTAAAACCCATGCTCTTTCTGATGATGGAGATAAGATAAGATGAGGGGAGGAGAGCTCTACCTGAAACACAGCAGCAAGGGCTTTGCACACCCTTCACTGCTGAGTTATTGCTCCCGAACTCTTGCACCACCCTGCAATGGCTCAGAGCAGTCACAGAGCATAATCAGTGTCACTCTGGGCTGGCAAGTCCTGGCCACTGGACCAGGGCCACTACTGCTGATAAAAGGACAGGCTCTGCTGTGATGGAGCATGGCTCCGATGGCTGGGGCCTGCTGTGCTGGAGGCTAGAAGTGGTGTCTTGTGAATGCACAGGTGCAAGAGGGAATTTCTCCAGACACAACCAAGAGTTGAGTTTGATGAGGTGTTAATTAGACCATTCATGCAGCCTGAGCTGTTGGAGAGCAGACCATGTTAGCTACCTACTGCGTCTGTGGGTACAGGAATCCCAGAACTGCTCAGATTTGCTTGGGGAAAAGATTGTGAGATTCTAAGGAATTAACATAGATTTTAACAGCAGATCAGAAATCAGACACAAAGGTTAATGCATGACTGAATCACACATTCAGTGCTGGAAGAGAAGAAACATGAGGGAAAGCTATTAGGAAGAAGAGATGCTAACGTGTTAAAGCTCAGAACATGTGGTACAAAACTTAGGCCAGCATGTCTGGGCAGTTTTGGCTTGGCAATCTCATGACCTGTTGTTCCTCAGCTGGTGTAGCCCTGATTTTGCCACGGGACACTCACAAGTGTTGGGGTGTTACCTCCACGATGGCAGGAGCTGCAGTGCCAGGAGGATAAAGGCTGGCAGGCACTTGTGTCCACACTAGACTGGCTGTTGTTGATGCTCTGTGACCACTTTGGGTCCTGACCTTGCTGAAGTCACCAGAGAAGTTAAAATCTTTCTTGTCTGGAGCTACAGTCTTTCTCTACCTCCTCATCCCCCAGCTCTCAGAGCCACCAGACCAGCTGCTTCCTTGGATTTCTGTCTGCCCTCTTTCCAGCCTTCTTGGCCCTTTCTTGCTACTGCTGTCACCATTGCGCATCCAGACTCTGGTCGCAGAGCCACAGCACCTCCAGAGAGGTGGCAGCAGCAGGCGAGGAAGCTCCCACATGTCAGTCCCTACCTCACAAGGCACAAGAATTTCTCATCTTTCATGACTTTACTGCCTCCTACTCCTGGTTTGTAGTAAATGTGGAGAGTTAACCACCCATCTGGGTCACTTTGGCTCCTTTTGGTGATGATGTCATTCCACAGTGCTCTGAAAGGAGCCCATAAACTTGAGGAAGCATGTTTGTCAGTCATGATGAAGCCCTTCCTCCCTGACAGCTGTGGGCATGGCAGGACTGGGAGGGGGCATGGAGATGATGTCTTGATTATCTGTGGGCAGCCCAGGTAGAGGTCAGTTTAAAACCTGTCCCAATCCTCAGACCTGCTCCCTGCATTCACAAATCAACCTCAAACCCAAGTTCCTGTGTTGACCCTTATGTGGTAGAGAGGAGTTAGCTTATAGTTGATGAAATGGCACAGACTGTACACTTGGGTTCCAAAACCACCAGTGGCCAAAGCAAAAATCATTTTTATTATGAGCAAAGTATTTTTATTATGACCGCCCATGCCACCATGAGGGGGCTACGGCTGTCTGAGTGGGCCAGCATGCATCGGTTGGTCTAGGCATTGCTTTTTATTCATGACTTGTTCTGGATTAGCAGCCAAAGACATCATATGGACAGAGCTTGTTTGTTTTAATTCATGTAGGTAAAAGAAACAGGGAGAGCCCAGTGTAGGTGGTATCTGGCAGAGGGAATGACTCTGGGTGGGTTTCAGAAATAAATGTATGTGTTTGTCCTGTCTTCTTCCTGACAAGGACTTCTGCCCTGTTCAACACAGGCGACTTGTAAGCACTGCATTTTTTAGCAGCTCTGCTTTGTCTGTTTGACTTTCTTTAAAAAGTACATCCTTTCTGTATTGGTCTAAGGCTCTTTAGTGATGCCACAGAGGCGAGTGTTTCTCGGTCAGCAGAGAAAGAAGCTTCACCCTT